CTACTTCTACTTCTGTCACTTTTGGGAACCTGATGCTTTTTGTTGGGACAATTATCAGATCATTTAGCGAAAACTGATAAATAAACTTTTAGAAATGAATGGATCTTTTTTTTCTTCCAGACTTTGCTTTAGTGTCTGAGTTTGCATTTCCTATTCGGAGCAATTCATTTTTTTGTAAAAACTAAAACACTTACAAGTAGAATTTTACCATTTACTGGAGCTTATTTCTTTTTTGAAGCTTTTAGCTGAGTAAAATGATGGTCTGTTAAAGAACTATAATAAAAAGTCACAATTATCGTTAATTACTAAATATTATTTATCTGTTAATTTATGTATGTATTTCCGTAACATAATTCATAAATATGTAAATTATACAGACTGCTTTTCCTTTAGCCTTTATATCTGTTAATGATGACTTTTTTTACTTACACCTAATGTACGAAATGTGTCAAACTTTTCTTCAGGCCTATAACACAAAAAATAACAAAGGTGTGGGCTTAAAGGTTGTTTTTATGTCCTATGACAAAAAGAACTATCACAAAACTCTAAACTAATTGAATATGAATTAATGAAAGTGGTAAGTTTCAGAGTATCCAAAGAAGGGTCCTAAAGAGACACTGAAAAAAAAGTAATACGCCATGTTGCATCGTACATTAGTATGACTTTGCTTTAGATGAAAAACTACAATAAAACAAAGTCATTAGTCAATCTGTTTTCTGACTGATTTCTATGGCTCTTGTAAACTGTAGTTGGACGAGAAAAACAGTTCATTGGACAGAGACATTGGGTTAATCCTTGAAGTTGGTATTGCTTTTTCTTTCTCTGTTTAAATGATAAAAAGGACCCATGTTAAACAATACATAATCAATGGATAACACATGGAGTGTGGCTCTATGCATGCACTTTTGCACTGCTGAGTCCGTGAACACATGCAAGTATCGGCTGATGCCAACACAAGAAGAAAAAAGATAATTTCTGCCAAAAATATTGACCTGCCGATTTTTTGGCCACTCTCTAATTTCTTTCTCATCTTATATTTGCTATTAGTGCTATAAAGCCTCTATGTAATTGTCCAGCTGCAGTGGATCCAGAATTCTGCTGCACTTAAGTTGTCTTGCTACTAAAATTTCATTTAAAAATAAATTTGCCTTGCTTGAACTTGTCGCACAATTTTATGATTTGATGAAGATGGTTCTTAAATATCTGCTTCATCTGTATATTTTGGGTTAAACACCTTGCTGATAATGAAATTGACTATCTTTAAGTTTGTTTCCCTTAGAAACCAAACTGCGCATTGACAGCTTGACCTGATGATGACTAGATTTGCGTTTTCTCATAGAAAAGAGACAGGATGTTTGAGTTTCTAAAGCACCAATCAAAGCTGATAATGCTAAAAAAAAATACTGATGATAATACAAGACAAGCAAATGTCACTTAATACATCAGATTTTTATAAAATTAAAAAAGGGCTCTTTGAAGTACAGACTGTTTGGTTATGGTGAATGATTTTAGTACATTTACTGAACAGGAGGAACACATTTGTCGGCATTTGACTTGCCAACTGGTGCACCACTATAAACCATTGTGGCTTTTGTCCACATTCTCCAACCAGCAGGCAGCTCCTAGCTTCTGGGAACTTGATTATTTTATAGATACTGTTTTGGCACGCACCTTTTCATGAAACCTCTGCAAGTCATTAGAGAGCTATTTAAATAAACGTGAACCTCCAGCTAGCAGAGGGATAAGCCTTGAGGGGTGCTGTAAGTAGTAAATCCGCCTGCATCACCTAGCAGGCTTAGTGGAAACTCTTGCTTTCTCATGTGTGCAGATTACCCGGGCAAAAAAAAAAAAAAAATGATGGCTCCTACAGGCCTCGCAAATATACTGTGCTGCAACTGTACTGCCTTAGAAACTCAACATTTGTGCGGTTGAAGGGAATTAATAAATCCTTTGAAGTTGACTTGAAGGCTCCTAAAACATCTTGTAAAAGTCGGGGGTCAAAACTCGAGGCATGTGACTGTAAAGAGGTCAGAGCTTCTGTTAGGGACCGAAATAGAAGATCAGAGATCAAGCGCTAAACAGCTGCTCAGATGCACTCTGTGACCATCAGATGATGCAGCCTAGGTCTCACAAACACACCGAGTGATCCCAGTCTGATAAATACCCACCTCCGTGCTTTTAAGCCTGTAAACCACATCGTCACCTCCAGCTTGGTTTAACACATAGCGGTTTGTTCAGCGTGCTCATTCCATCTTCCTCTGTCCTCCACAGCTGGCACTATAAAACAGCAGCCAGCTTTCCTGCCTTTAGCCATTCTCATGCTCCCATTGTGCAGTATGGATTGAAGCCTCCCTGTTAAATCCCACAGAGGCAGACAGTATAAATGAAGTCTCTTCGCAGCCTTAAGCGCTGCCTATAACACCCTAATAACTTTCTGGATGTCTCGGCTGAATTGGCCCGAGCTGCATCTCGTCGGTGGGTGAGTGCCAGCCGAGCAGAGCTAATGACAGCTAATGACTGTTTACAGTGACAGGATCGTTGTTATCCCAACCCCCCCTCACCACCAACACAACTCCCTCCACCTTCCATATCCCACCCTCAACTCCACAACTCCATCCTCATCTCCAGCTGTTATTATTGTTATTACTATTACTGCCACTCGGCTGCTTCAGATAAGTCTCCACAGACAGTCGTTTAAATGTTGGCTTGATGAAAAGCTCGCCCCTTTCCGAACATTTACGCCAAAAATGTTGTTTTTCTTCTTCTTCTCACTTTAAGTGAGAGGGGAGTCCGAAGAGTGTGTACTAGTGTGCATGTGCCACTCTTGCCAGGTTCTTGTGTGTGTGTGGCTGAGCACACCAGATGATGGAGAACAAATTTAAAATGAGACGGCTTGCAGAACCCCCCCTCCTTGCAATCCATGTACGGATGTGTGTCCATGTGGTTGGTGTGTGTCTAGTTAATTTATTCAGGTTATTTTCTCATCTCCGGACCCATGCAAATGAGATTGGGTAGAGAAGGATGACAAATGTCGAGATGGAAACAGACAGCCCCATTGCTGATTTTTCCTGGAACAACTTCTTGTCTTTGTTGCTGATTTTTCTTCCCTTGGTTTTCAATTATTTATTTATTTTTCTTTACATCCATACAAACAGCTGGCACCCCATTTATTGAAATATCACACCTTTAATTGTTGTACATCATTTCAGTTAGGAAATAATGGTGAATGACAAAATCAATAACTCCTGATTTATACTTTTGCTTAGAAACTTTTTATTAGACAAGCATGACTTCTTATTTACCAAAACTATAAAGATTATGTGAGTCAGGTCCATACGTCTTAAGTCAACATGCCAATCAGTTGGGCAGGCGTGTGTTGGTCAGAGAGAGAGAAAGAAGTTTCATTTTCACATGAGGCACGAATGGAGGCATGTTCATGTGCATGTTAAGTGGAACATGAAGGGCATACTGGAACAATCAGGACTTCTGGTATAATGTTTGTCAGTCAGATGAGTGTAAACTGGTATTATTTCGAGACCAGAACAGAGGATGTGGTCGAAAAAAAACAAATACAGAATACAAAAAAGGCTTGAAGGTAAAGTTTTATCATTTCAGGACATTGGCCAGCTCTCCATCATGAAAGCTATGGTCTATCAGACAATGTCAAAGGAAATGACGATTTGTGATTATCTTTTTTCTCTGGATTTATGTTACTGTGAATATTACTGTTCTTCCTGCAGAAAAGAAATCCACTCCTCCTTTCACCATTCTGCAAAATCCTACAGAAAAAAACACACAACAGTTTTTAGAGAACTGAGGCCTACATCTTTAAGTCTTCAGAATTATTATGGAAACTACATACACATCAAATGTTTTATTTCTTTATTTTTTTTTCAGGAAAATGTATTTTCTGTCCTCCCATCATGCAGCCTGACTGAGTTTGAAATAAAATCAACAGTCTTTATGTATCTATCTTACAAGAATGAAATTGTTGGCTAAAAAATCTTTTTAAATGATGAATTCGAAGGGAACTTTCCTTATTTTCACTGTTATGTAGAGTAGGAGATCTGTCATGCCATGGGAATGCCTCTCTCTCCCAGAGAACCCCTTGGAATACATGGAAGCCTATCATTTTTTGAATGCTAGTTTTAAATAAAAAATGTTTCAGAATTAGTTCCCCCAGCGAAAGATCTACCCACCTTTGTTTAATCTGACAATTCTTTTAAATATCTTCTGTGAGATTATATTTCTGCAGCAACATATTCACTCATTTTAATATTGAGGCTTTCAACACCTCTTTACAAGGTGTGCCAATACGTTTCTAAGCAAATGTGCTCCATTGAAAGCTTGCTACAGTACAGAAAGCCTTACATCATCACAATGCATCAACCTCAGGAGGGTCCCTCTCTCCACCGTCAGCTAATTTGCTGTGACAGTTTGTTTCCATACGATAAGCTTCCCTTAACCATTTCTACTAAACTGAACAGGTTTTTCCCTCCATTATGTTTGGTAATAAGGGAGCAGGTCTGCGCTCACAATTGCTGCTGATACCACGCATACAAACAAACAGGGTGACAGCATTGTCTCCCAACCTTTTGTAGGTTGGTGTCTGTTTGTGTTGGCGTTAACATATTAATATCCTTCTGCATTAATATGGATGGGTGTTTGCTCAGATGAATTTCTGCTTTCCAAACGCCAGACTGCCGGTGACAGTGAGGACACAGGCTTGTAGCTCTGGTGTAATTGGTTTCAGATTTAGCGTGAAGATGCCATGTGTTGTTGTTCACTGGGAATTATCATAATGAAACCTGCTCTCTCTTTGTTCCTTCGTGCCTTTTGGCCCTTTTTCTTCCCTTCTCCTTCTCTCTGTTCCAGCTTTTTTCCCCTCATCTTTTGTAAGTGTCCCGATAATTGTTTTGACCATGCCTATTTCTTGTTAACCCTGATGTCCCCCCCCCCCCCCCCCTGTTTCTACTCTGTCTGATCCGTTCTGCCTACAGAGGTGCCAGTGTCGTCTGTGCTTTGCCTTTCATCGGTCAGAGAGCTGCCCGTCCAGGTCAGGGAACTGTACGCACAGGGCTTCGTCCTGGTGGCTGTTCACCCCTTTGTCCATCCCTGCGGACCCCGCCACGCTCACATCCAGCGCCAGCTCCACAGAGCTGTGTTAGTCAGAGAGACACAGAGGTGAGTGGATCAAACGCACCCCTCTTTTCAGCGCCACCACCACCTCTGTTTAAGAAAGTAGTTTGAACTGTAAATATCACCACTGTGGGCTGATTAAGATAAATGAGATGATTTGCTTGCAGCCAGATTTAGCTAACAATTAGAGGGTGCCTGCTGGTGTGACTTCATTGTTTTGACATGAGATCCAACAGAGACTCATTATCACAAGCCTCCTCACCTCCTTTTGTTAATGTAAAATAAATTATGGGTGATTCAGCCACTTAAAACGACATGCTTTAGCTCGATCCCAAATCTGTTACTGCTGTCTCTACTGAACTCAACTTATGAATACAGTCCGTGGGTATTTCATCCATAATCCACAGTTTTTGAAGTCAGCAGTTAGACTTTTGGGGTGTATTTAAATTGTTTTTTTTTTTTTTAAATGACTCTAACCTAGATAACAAAAACTGTGCATGGAGGAAGAGGATTTGCAGTGGAAGTGGGCGTCTGCAGGTGTTGGGAATGCTCCTTACGGTGCAGGGTTCAAACCCAGGCAAGATGGAGGGAGGTAAATGATGACGGTAATTTAAATGATTAGAAAAATTTAGAAAAATAGACAAGGAATCTCAGGTGGAACACAAATACACATGGAATATTAAATAAAAACTCAAGGGCACAGGGTTGATTACTTGATGCAAAACAGGTGAGTGTGATTAACTGGCTGCAGCTGTAGGGAAAGGAGGGAGAGAGGGATCAGTGAAGGGATTGGCTGAGGAATGACACTAAATGAATACAGAAGGAAACACTGGGAGACAGTGGATTATATGCGTCTCAGGTCAAATGCCAGGCAATATAAAATAATTTTAGAAAGTGTTTCACATTAAGTGTCACCTGTGCAGTATCCTGCATTATTAACAGGAATAAAAACTACAAATTTTAATAAACCTGCAGTAACTTCCATGGCTTTAACTCAAAATTCTAACAACCTTCTGATTAAGTAACAATAACTTGTCTTCTCTGGAACGCACCCGCTCTAAATTATTGTAAAATATGTTTCATTTACATAAAGTTTAGGTTTCACTGAAGGAATCTCTTGTATTTGTTGCATCATTGAACTACAATATAGTATTGAGGAAATGGTACCAAATAATCAACACTGAAATTACAAAATGTTTTTTTTTTCATGACCGACGAGAACAGAAGATGGAACTTTGTCAGATTTTAATGGAGGAGCTCATTTCTAAAAGATCTGGATTAAGAGAAATATTTTAAAATGATTTTTTTTTTTAAAGTAAAGATCCCGCCCTGCCTTAAATCTGTAAAGCAATGTTAGAAAAATGGGATTCTTCATAAATATCACTTCACAGCATCTAAAGGAATGCTGTTTGCACAGTAAAACATGGAGGTAGCAGGTTCGTGGTATTAAGAAAATTACCTTAATGATGGAGAATCTTCAAAACAACTAGTTTTTTCTCAAGGTGGAATAAATCCTGAACAGTTCAAAATCCCAGTCAGCTCTAACAACATTTTTCAGGGACTGTTTTAAACCTAAACATGAAGAAAATAATTTTTCAGCCTCACTGTGAATCAAAGATATATCCAAATTTTAAAAACAAAGTAGAACTTTTGTATTCTGAATACACAGTCATATTCAATAAATTACAACAAGCTCATCTGCAGAAAGGACTCTTTGGAAAATAAAAACTTTGAAGCAGGAATTAAAGATACTTTTCATTAAAAGTGCATGACTGTATTGAAAATGTTTTTAAAATATTTTTTTTTCCCATGCTCTGGTTACATCACTAAGGAAGATATCTATTTTTCCTTATTTTGTACATGGAAAATAAATAAAGGACAGATGGCTCCAGCAAAATAAATTGAGAGTCTAAATAGCTGATATAACGTTGTCCCTCTGAAAATGAAAACATGCATGGAGAACTTTTTTAACAACAATCTACATACAATAACACATTACAAGTAAAATTAGAAAAAAAATGTGAAATCTACTTTTTTTTTTCTCTTCAGATCTTCCACTGTACACACAATGTGCTCCAACCCCTAATCAATTATTGTTAAAAGCTGTATAAACCAATGTTGGTAAAGTGGAGGAATTATTGTGAACTGAAACTGAAATTATAAAAGCATGTTGGGTTATCTAACTTGAGTATGATGCTGTTTTGAAGAGCAACTAAAGAAAAGTAAAGCTGCATAAATGGATACATTAGATAGGCAGAAACTATTAACTTTAGTTGAGTAACTTTTTTAAATGTAATTCTACTTCTATGAATAGTTCTGCTGCTGCGCTTTTTACCTGATTAGTATTATTTTTAATTAGTGGTGGACGAAGTACTCAGCAGTAGTACTTGAGTCAAAGTATTGATACTCACAGTCGAATCTTACTCAACCACAAGTAAAAGTTAGTCGGTCAAACATCTACTCAAGTATTGAAGTACTCACATTTGAAATTACTTTATTATTTAAAAGTACATGCTTTTTAAAGTAAAAAGAATTAAAAGTATTCAAAATATCAGTATATTTCTATATAATTTACAAGTAATTTTAAAAACCTTGTAACCTTCAGAAACCTCCTGATGTTTTGATGCATAAAACCAGCTGCTCTAAATTCTACACCACCTTTAAAGATCTTCAGCATAAAAGCGGCACAAAAAATAAGGACAGCTATTTTGATTATTGTTTCTTATTTAAAAACAACCCAAAAAGAAAGCAGGAGTGTCTCGATTCTCCTCGCATCTTCACTATAAAATGTCTGATGTGCAATTTGGAGGTGAATGCACTTATAGGTAACAGTATGTACCGTAAATTGCGATTTTCAGTTCATGCAAATGTTTTTGTTTTTTTTTGCCTCCTCAGCACTTAGTTGGAGATTTTATCAAAATGTACAACAGATTTATGTCACGTCAGTGTCAACATTTGACATTGGAACCATTTATTATTTTGTCATATTCCCCAAACAATGCAACTTTTATCCATCATATTTACTAAAACTTTCAAGGTTTTTTCAAAACTTACTGAGACATTTTTAACAGCATTCCAAACAGGACAGATGTCATTTTAATATAGTCAGTACTAAAGCTGATGACAAATGAGGGATTCTATACTTAAATTTTATGTTGTGCATCTTTCCTTCTGCAATTAAAGGATTTAGTTTGGATGATTAGAAGCTTTGGACATAAATTTAAACTGTGTTAATTGGAAATGTATGCACACTCAAACACTGGGCACACAGATAGGTGCCAGGCTGCTCCTCTGATGCCCCTCCTGCCAAGCTGTCCTGCTGCTTCCTGGCACCTGTCACCGTGGAGACGGCTGATTGCATCACCAGAGCTCGCCAGAGGGGAACGGCAGTGTGAAAGAGAGTCCATCTCACCATCCTTTCATCTGTTTTTTTAGAGACCACTCCGTACACACACACATGCATACGCTCCTTTTTTTTCTTTTTGTCCCGATCACCCCCCTTTGTCCCCTTTACGCTGGCTTTTATCTCCCCATCATCACCAACCCTTTCATCAAAACCATAAAAATGAAATGGGGGAAAAAAATAGATCTACTGTTTCAAATCTAACTGAGAATGTCACTCACGCCTCAGAGCACAAGATATTACTACGGCCTTCCCACTGACCTCAATCCAAATCTGAAGAGGCGTATCTGAATGTGCCTTTCATGATGGTGCCTTGCAGTGGGAGCAAAAGGAAATTTGGCTCTTTTTTCTCTGTCTAATAAGGTTTTTGTGCCCGTGGTAAATGGGTGCTCCTCTTAAATGGAAAATTCCCCTTCCATCAGATTTGACATTAAGTTTCTGCTGTGATCATTCTGGGTCAACAAGTGCTCATGAACATGAGCTTGTCTTCCACAATCTTTAGAGGCAAACCTCCTTTTGAGAGTAAAGTCAGCGGGTAATGTGCTGTAACTACCATAGTTGAGATGAAATGTGAAATAAGAGAGGAAAATGACCTTAAAATATGTTGCCTGGCATATGTGACATTTCTGATAAATAACATCTATTTGACCTGAACTAAATGACTCATGACCATCGTCTCATGTCTTGCCTCCAAGTCTAGAGAAAAGCCAGCTGAGGTGGGTGAAAAACCGTCTGGAGACAGAGGTCTGTGTGGCCAGTCAACAGGCTGCAGACCCAGAAGCCATCCAGAACTATGTTAAGAAGGTCAGTGCAAAGAGGAAAACAGGCATGACATCATTTTCTTTTTTTCATCTCTATTTATTAACTTTGCAAAAATATCAGCACAAAAAGTCTAAATACTTCACCTCATTTTATATCTGCCTTTCAAATGCAGAGGACAAAACATTTTCTTAGCTGATCTATCAGAATAAGAGTGTCTTTATTTGTAAAAAAGAAGTACATAGAATTTGGAATCATAATTTTTCTGTACATCATATACTTCAGCACGTTATTGGATTTTTTTGCACCTTTTGAAAAATGATGCCTAATGAGAATCACAGCTGTTGAATATCAGGCACTATGCATTTACAACTGCTAAATGCAGGTAAAATGTGGCTGTAAATAACCCAGTAATAAAGAAACTCATATTACTCACTCACCTCAGGATGCTATATGCTGGAAGTTATTCAAATTCATCACAGAATGTCATTTATATAATGATCGTTTGGCCATATCTGCTAAGTCAAGATCACAGTGCATTGACCTTTTTATCCCCACATGGTCAGTTGATTTATCAAGAAAAAAAAGTAAATGCACCTCTTTATAAAGGGAGTTTAAGCTACCTTTATCTAAGCCATTTTTGATGTTTGTAAAATATTCTTTTGATGCTTTGCATAATGTATCTAAAAAAAACAATGTGTTCTGTAGCTGACTAAAAAGGTTTAGACGAGATACCCCCTGATCAAAAGCCCCACCCTTGTCACTAGAATTTATTAACATGATTCTTGAATAAGCAACCTTGCAGGAGTATGAAGGGCCACTGTAAATCCGTGTTTAGACAGTCCTGAAATAATAAATTTGGTGATCAAAAATATCAATAGGGTCTACCCAGGTTTATGAATATTGATAAGTGCCAAATATTATATCTTGGGGCTCTCACCACTGTGCTAAATCTAGTAAATAATAAATAGATAATGAATAATAATGATAAAATATTGTACATAGTTAACAAGAAAGAACTAATGCTGTGTTTGTTTTCAGCCAGAGCATCATTGATATTAATAGAATGACAACATGTCTATTTATAACTAATTTCTATAATTCAGAGGAGACAGCCTGTCTTGCCATAGTTTAAAAGGATGATATTCAAGTTTTTTTGTTAATGTTTTCTACCATTCTTTTCCAGTCCTTTTACATGGGCATTTTTACATTTTTTTCTTTTAGTAGCTAAGCCACTCAATGACTGCCTGTGACTCATTTAGGAATAATAAAAAAAGCCTCCAAACACGCGCATGTACTTCAGTCACCACTTAAATAAACCAATAATAGATTTTAAATTACACTTTTTGGTACATTTGTTTCCAGGGACTCTGTTCTAAATAAGTTGTTTCCATTTCTTTCCCTCCATCCATTACAAAAATGACAAAATAAAAAAGTTTGACAAGCTTAAACTGAACTTCAGCATCAAGTTGAATATCAAATAGCTTTTTGTAGGGTTTGCAGCATGTCTTATCTTAAAAAAAAACCTTCAGTTGATTATTTAATATATGCCAGGTTCAATTTTAATGCCATTATACAAAGATAACGCCAGTCATCAGCTACACATTTTGGCCATCCCTCTGACTAATGTCAGAAAACCACGAAAAGCAACTTTGCTCTTCTTGTGATATAAAGAAGGGCTTAAATTAAATTATTTGCACACCAGATCTGAAATAAACCGAGAATAATATTTCAAACATGGAACCTAATCTAAACTCTGAAGCTAATATCCATAAAGAGTGGGGCAACGCTTTCCTCCGACTCTTAGAAATCCTATGAGTAGTCAGTAGGTAGCTGAAAGTATCCTTTCCCTGAAGTTATTTAATATAAATTTGGAAGACTATTAAAGATTCTGAACACCAAACCGTTCAAATAAAATATATCTTTATTAAACCAAAGATTTTTTTCGGTCTTCCTTTCTATGGCAACCATGTGAAGTGAGTGCGGCTTCATCAGTGCAGATAGAGCTATGCATGGTGTAGCATGAGACAACAAGTTGTGTAAATTTGCAACATTTAAATAAATCTAGTAGCAGGCTGTCTTATGCGTGTTGTGTATATACGGTTTGTTTGAGTTGTGACGCTTTTGCGTGGCACGTTACCGGTATAAACATGTGGCTGGCTAGCTCAAGTGGTAAGTCACCGGTCCTGCAAACAGGGTTCGTATCCCAGCAGGGAGGAATGTGCTGCCGGTGTGGGTCGTTAGACAAGACCATTCACTCTTTGGGGAGTGGCGCTTGTAATCTTGAGGTTCTGAGTTCGATCCCCACTCCCAGGGACCACTCTAGTTCCCTGAGCAAAGACCCTAACCCCGGGCGCTGCACGATGGCAGCCCACTGCTCCCCAAGGGGATGGGTTAAATGCATAGAGTTCATTTAATTGCTCTGTACTTGTGACAGTGTAATGACAATAAAACACTTGAAAAACTACAGGAGCATATTTTAAAAGAAAATCTACCTATGTTATAGAAGTATCAGATACGCAGATGGGGTCTAAAATGCATGTTACAATGCAGAGTTATTAAGAAATATACAAATAGAAAAAAACTTCAAAAGCATAAAAGAGATGAAGAAATATTAAGTCTTTGGAGGAAATCTGTAAAGAAAGATGTAGCTTAAGACTTTTGCTCAGTCCTGTATCTGCTGTTAAACTTCCTCTCAGTGTCTCTGCTCATGAATTTGCCAGCAGCTCTACATTGGGAAATGAAAATGTGCTCTATTGAATAGATTTGCATCTGAACACCCAGCGAGCACAAAAGAAAAACCTGATTGGATGGAAATGCACATCACTGAGCATAATGTGATAGGCTTCGGCAGCGTGACATGAATAACCAATCAGATCCCAAGCTGCCAGAGAGAGTTTGTGATAAGAGCCAAAGGAAACCTAGAGAAAGAGAGGACACATGGTTTGTGTGTGCGCGTTTTGAAATCTTATACTTCTGTTTTTCCAGTACTAAACTGGCCTGCCCACACCTAGCATCCCTGTGGACATGCTGATCTGATAAACCAGTACTGGTGTCTGTAAATTATGTCTGTGGGTGCTGGAGAAAGCAGTTCAGAGTTGCAACCTGCTTTCATGGATGAGTGAAATATCAAAAATAGTGGGTGATAGGGGAAGATGTGCCTCATTATTGTTTTGCGGCAGTTCAAGCAATCTGATTTTCTCTCCCCTGTCGAGTCCGCCCAAAACTGTCAGCCTAAATATCAACTGACAATTAACCGCCTGAGCACGGTGGGAGGGGGGCAGCTAACACAGTGCCACATGAATGTGTACAGATAATGAGGTCCCTTTGTCATTTGAATATTTGATCTTTGCAGTTGATTAGGTGGGCTTTTATTATGAAGAATACCCACCTTGCGTCTGTCAGCCTTTGTTTGTGTGTAAATTAGGCTTTGTTTGTTAGAATGAAAGGAGGCGACGCAACAAATTCATTTGTGCTCCTTTGAAAGACGCCCTTTCACACATAGAAATAAATGTAACAGACTATAACCATAACTGATGTTCACCACAACCAAATGAACAGAGAAAACATTGTCCCCAAAAAAGAGAAAACACGGAGCAGGGTAAGTCTTCTCTTGCAACCCCCCCCCCCCCACAGGTTTCAAGTTACGACTGTTGTTTTTTCTTGATAGATTTTAACTCTAAACAGAAACAGAAATAAAATGTAATTTAAAGCAGAAGGAAGACAGTATTGAACAGTATCAGTGAACAATTTGGATCATAATAGTTCTGAGATTCATTTGAAATATAAACCAATATTTTTTTAAATAAAGCAGTCGAAGGTTTTGCTAAATGAAACTAAAAAAGAGGGAGAGAATAGGAAAGTTACAGTATATGGTGACTATTGATAGCTGTAGATTTAGATTTATCTGTTCAACAGAAGAGATCATCGTCTGGTGAAACATTTCAGCTTTCGAGTACAAAAAAAAGATAAACTTTAAAAAAACCAGGACCTATGAATCTGTAATAAGGTCTCCCTCGAAAAAGAGATTTTATCTCAAGGGACTTCCTGGTAAAATAAAGGTTAAAGAAAAGAAAGGAAATAAGATTAAATTAGTTAATCAAGATTCTAACTAACCTTAATAACAAGTGTGCCTACATCCAAAGGATGGGAGTCATAATTTTAAACGTCTGATATGCAACACCCCATCTGTGGCTCTTGCATCAGCTGACCTGTATCACTTTGCTAGTTCAGTGGGCTTTTCCAACCCAGGAACAAGTGAGAAAAGCAAGTGACTCAACAAAAGTCTTAGTTTTGAATCATTTACTGTCCTAAGTTATTTTTAAGAGCAAACAAGTTAACAAAGCATTTGTCTGACTCCGAGGTTTGGCAGATATTCTCCAATTAGTGTCCTTTTATCATGGGTCTACATATCATCTAAGGAAAGTCAGTAACTAAGTCATTACTGCTCTAAGGAGAAGATGACTGAGTCATCTAAATAAAAACAGCAGTTGGAGAGAATCTTATATATTTTTGTTATTATTAATATTTACATACAGTAGAGCGCAGGGATCCTAATGTGGGATCCTGAGGAACTCCTTTGGGCACTGGAAATGGACCTCCTCTTATAAACAAATGGGGAAAAAAGCGGACTTCCTCTGCTCAAGTAATTCTGTGATTACAATGAGTCTGTCTGTTTTACAGATCCAGGATGTGGCCGAACAAGGGTCCATGTTTGTGGGGTTTCTCCAGCAGCCAGGTGGAGGACCGTATTTTTGGGGTCACTGGGACCCAGAGGAGCTATCATCCTTGCATTCAAGCCCATCACCGATACATCGACAGCCTTTTAGCACCAAAACAAGCCCAACTAGACCAAATCCTATTGGTGAAGATGCTGATCTCTGTTGCTGTGATTCTGAAGAGATGGATCGGAGGGGTGTAGAGGGTGTCAAACAGGACCAAGTCTCCTCGATTTTCAGACCACCAGACCTCAGTAATCTGAAGCACACTGCAGACTTTACTCATAACCCAGATGAGCTTGGTGATCAATTAATAACTTCACAAACTGTAGCCATAGACTGCAATAAACCTCATATCCACATCAAATCTGATGCTCATAAAACTACAGAAGTCTGGGGAAAATGGTCAAGTCTACCAGAAACAGCAGTCACAACAAGGCTGCAGGAGTGTAGATTACATGGGATTAAACAGCACTGCACTGAGTCTACAGAGAAACATCTCAGCCTATCCAAACAGAAGGAAAGGAGGGTCTCCAGCCCAGACAGCTGGCTCAGCTCTCCAGAATTGGACCGTAAGCATGACAGAAGATCTGACTTAACTCAAGCAGATGGACAAAGACACGTGACAACACAGAACAACAACCACATCAAGCTGAAGAATTCTGGGAATGACACGGGTTCAACTTCACCACCGACGCAGGCTAGTAAGTAAGCAGGAGGTTGTTTTGGTTCTCAAATTAGACAGGCAGGCCTTTCTCTCTACTTAATCTTTCTGATTTGTTGCTCTCATGTCTGCAGGGATGCAGCTGTTTGCGCTGTACAACCACACGGAAGAGCCCGACACCTCCCTGAGGTTCTACTCTCTCCGGGTGCCTCTGCATGTGCAGAAGGAGAGGGAGGCAATCACAGACATTGATGCAAACTGGCTCGACCACATGACTCAGCATTTTAGCAGCGGAGCGCAGCTCATTGATGGGTTTTTTCACCTCACAGATGATCATGGTTTGTCTTTTAGCATTTTCTATTCATTGTTCCGGGCATCAGGACATCTTTTAATAGCATAGTCCAATAAAGTGTCTTTCTTATATTTTCTTTATTTTTAGTTTACAAACTTACAAACTTGCATCTGACCATCAGAAAGTCTGTTATTTTAGTTATTTTATTTGTTTTTTTACAAATAGAAATCTTAAAAGTGAGGGACATGCTTTTATTCAGTCCTCTTCAGTCTCATCTTCTATTGTACATTCTATGGGTTGTGTGTCTACTTGTGTTGCACATTTATAAATCTATAAAAAAATCTCTTTTGTAGACAATCTTGTTTGCAAAATAACCCATGCTCTGTCAAATAGATTGGCATTAGTTCAGCCTGTTGTGTTTTAACTAAGCCATGACATGATTAATTCTAATGCAGGCCCGATTGACAGTTTTTGTTTTAACTCTTCTGCAATCTCAAAACTTGTTTTAATTCAATTTTCCCTGTATTTTGCTCTTTAGGGTACAAAGCAAATAGTTGCCTACCAAGAGATTCTCCCATTTATACTAAGAGTTGTTGCAAGCCTAATGGGTGCATCTCCAAGCAGCTGGAGTGGACAGCCTTGTCTTAGTTGGATTGAGATTGTGTCATAGTTTCCATTTTAAGATAGATTGAACAGTTGGTATATTGTTTTATAATTCTCTGGAACTTCCTCTCTGATCCGTCTGCTGTGTTCCTTGGTTTAAATCAAGCTGTCTGTTCTCCAATGTTCTCTCATAAAAATCCCAATGAGATACATTTAGGTTTTGCTGTGATAATATCACATCTTAAAAACGAACAAGAGGTATGTGCACCTTTGCAAGGTAATTTAGGTTAATGAGGCTTGTAGAATGAAATATCTTCATGCTGAGAAAGCTGTAACCCATTTCTTGATCAAAATCTAGGATTATGCTGAGATAATTGCTTTGATGCTAGATGATCACAGGAAGAAAGGAAATCTTTTTTTCTTATAAGTTTATTGCTTATTACAGCCTTATAGTTTCTATACCATCCAGATGCAACCTAAAAATGTTCCTTAACTGAGTCTGATTCAATGAGAAAATCCCTGTTGAGTAGTGGATGGGATACACATCAACCCTAAATCTACAACCTGACTCAGCTGACCTCAGCTGCACATGAAAGATCTAGGCTTAATCTAAAGCTCTCTAGGTTTGAATCACTTACATCCTCCTGTGTTTGTCTGTGACTGCTTGTTTCCAGTCCCTGGAGTCTCATCTGTGGATAGCGTTTTCATCTTCCAGAGCTCCGTGGAGGACACCACAGACACCTCCTATGACGCCATCGTGGTTGAGCAGTGGACTGTTATAGATGTGAGTTCTGGTTTTTGTGCTGGGGAGACAAATTTTGCACAAGTTTTGTGAAGAAAAAAGCGGAATGAAGAGAGCCTGAATTTCTTTAGGCAGAATGCTATCTGAAACTTTCTTCTTTAAGTAATATATATGAAAAACTGTGCAGTTTCTATAAATTGAGATAAAAAAATGCCTAATATTTGTAAATGGATCCAATTCACACAGGGTCAGATATATAGATCCAGTCCCCGATATAAAAATATTGCTGTAGGAATATTTGATTAAATATATTTATTTGTAAGCTGAGGTCAGTTTATCGCAGAGGCTTATCCTCATTCTCTTTTCCAAAAGTAGCTTTAATATAATTGAAGGCCGGATGACATCTCTTACATTTCACTTATTCACCTGTGGTGTGCATAGTGGCTCATTCTAAGCATTGAGTGAGCAGATGTCCTGATCTATGTGGGACGTGGTTAATTTTTCACCTCTGTCCCAATGTCCCACAGACTGAAACAATGTCTCGCATTTGACTAGGTCAGATTACTGCAAATCAAATGAATAACTGAGTAAATAAATATTCAACAGGTTCTTTTTTTAAATGTGAAGAAAACAGAGCTGCAGTCACTAGTAGTCACTATTATAAAGCCGTGCCAGCTGTCAAGCAAAACGCAAGCAGCGTCCAACGCCATGACTAACCTGCACGTAATGCTTTAAAAATACAAGTCAACGATTTTAATACAAAATATAATAGAGGCTACGTTTAAAGAAAAGAAAATGCAGCCACAACAAAGACTATTTATAACTGGGTGAGGCTTCTCATAAACGTCCTTGTTGCACCACATTTGTTTTTCAAGACAGAAAGAAGGAAAAAAAGAAGAATGAACAAATTAATTTGTAATCCAATCTGCTTACCACTACCACCGGAGACAAAACAGACCCTCAGCATGATGCTGCCACCACTATGCTTGATACTTTGGGCAGTGTTCTTTAGGCTATCTTCGGTCATTGTGTCCTCTGATTATTAAACTAAGAACATCTGGTTCATAAATTTTGCAGAAGAAGTTTCAGTCATGCTTCAAACTGTTTTTGATCTTTCCTTCTTGTTGTGATGCTAAACTCCCTTCTCTGTGAACAGGGTCACTGTGTTTCACCATATAGCAGAATTTAGCCTCATTGCAATGAAGAACCTCAGAAAAATTTGGATGTGATGGGTCATACTTGACTCCACATATTTTAGTGTCCAAATGCATTATAGAAAACGAAAAAAGGAAGCTACACAAACTACTGACCAATCCTTTAATGTGGATATTTTCTTCTTGTATGCATTTAATGACCATGGCCCTTTTCAGGGTGTTGTGGTGAAGACGGACTACATCCCTCTGCTCCAGTCCTTAGCTCCATATGGATGGAGACTGATGTGTGTGCTGCCAACACCCATTGTCAGAACAAACAGGTACCTAACGCTTCCAAAATTATAGGTGAAGAAATATTCCACTTTTAATCTTGTTGACAAATGTCTGCTAGACGTATCCGGGTCTAATTACGGCTCTGCTTGATTGTTGATTCTTCTCATCTAACATGTTGTTGTTCTCGTTCCTTTCGGGAGCAGGACTGACACTAAAACGCGGATGTGAAGGACAGATGGCGCCAGATCTGACAAATCCTGATCATATGCCCGTCTCAACATGAAAAAGCTTTTGAAATCTGTTGCCTTCTGCGAACAAACAAGCAAAGAAAAAAAAAAGCCATCTCTGAACTGCTTTTGTTTTTTAACCTGTCACTTTAGAAACTGCAGGAAGCAGAGACTGGATCTCAGCGTGTGTGGCGTTAATGTAGGCTCCCTGAATTACAATATGATGGGTAACGTTCATTAAAGGGCTTCTCTCTTCTTTTTGCAGTGATGGAAGTTTGTCGACTAAGCAAATCCTTTTTCTTCAGAGACCCATTTTGCAACGCAGGAGAAAAGACTTCAAGGTTCGTCTTTTGTCTTTATAGCAAATCCATCCGTTTTCTCTGTTGTGCCTTGAGTGCAAGTGACTTTATGTCACAGGAGGTGGCATTACAAAAAAAAAGCTGTACTTTTCTAAATATGGGATGTACAGCAAATATAAAACCCCAAACAAGTCTAATAATAGGAAAGTAGTTGGCCTCAAACTGTACAGGAAAGAAGCATCAGAGAACAAGGCTTTGTTGTGATTTGTCAGGTGTCTGGGGAGATGCGAAAGAAAAGACATGACACAAAGCAGGAAACAATCTCAAACGTGTCTGTTTGATTTCAGATGCTGAACCTCAGAGGTCGCAGTAAAGCAAAGAAACACTCAGCCGGGGAGGCGTTAGACGAGCAGGAGAACAAGTCCCTCGTGATAGAGACTGAGATGGACAGGCTGAGGATCAACGAAGAGGAAGACGAGGCAGTGGTAGAGGGGAGGAAGAGAGGGCACGGCGGAAGGAGCAAAATAGCGAGCCTTCAGAAGAGCGGAGAGGATGGGCATCAAAAGGCGTTCTCCCTTCTGTTGGAGCGCAGGGCTTCTGTTGAACATCAAGAGGAGGAAACTGATGTGGACGCCATCCTGGCGCCCAGACAGGAGCAGGTGGTGAAATGGATGGATATCTGTCCAGTTGATGAGCGGGGGTTAAAGGAGAAGGTCAGGGTGGAGGAGCGGATTAAACAGCAGCTATTCTCCGGAGTTTGTTGACATGAAGTTTGTGGGAACCAAGCAATCAGAAACCTGGTTATCCTCCCATAAAAAAAAAGTGTTTTAATGGTTTGAGTTCCTAAAAAAAGGCAGAGTCGAGCAAAAACTGTGCTGTGGAAAAGTATTTCTGTTTTTCCCTTTTTGTTTTGTTAACCTGAGTAAATGCAAAGTGCAGCTTTTAAGTAATGATATTCTAACTTAGTACCAAGTAAATAATCTTTCCACTTGTTAAATTATAAATTAAGAGTTTTTATTGTCATGACGTGACCATTATAAAGTTTTCTTTAGACACCAGCCCCAAACACACATATAATACACAGACATACTTTAAAAACAATGAAAAAAATAACTTGTATTTTCAAAATAGAAAAATAAAAGATGGACGTGTAATGTAGAAGGGAGGATTTACGTAAAGTGTAGGTTCTGGTTTGTTTCAGTCCATTTGTTTCAGATTTAATGTTTCTGAATCATTTCTCCTGGTGAAAGAGAGACAAAGTGTCATTACCTGGATGAGCGGTGGTTTGGGGAAACACACCTTTTTCTGGACGTATGCAGCATAAACTGAGTGCTGTGCTGATGATCTGGTGGTCCTGGTTCCTCTTTGTATTCTGGTTGCTGCTGTTGAAATGTTGCTTAATGCTCTGGGCTTTGCCTGCTGATTGGCTCTTTAGTTCTCTGCGGGCCCTGCTGTGGGTCAGTCTGTCTCCTGATCAGTAAGCTGCATCATGATCTTTGGGAAGGAGCCAAACTGGGCTGTCAACTGATTGTTTCTGGTTAGGAAAAACCCTGATTATGCAGGGAGTGCAGCAGCAATGCAGACATCAATATAGGACAGACCTGTACCTGGAAGGAGAAAGTTTGGCCTTTGGTTTGTTACCGTTGGTCTGTTACCACTCTGGTTATGCACCCTGACTGAAAAGCTGCATAATTACCATATAAAAGCAACTGATGCTGGATAACCGTCCAGTTATTTTTTTGTATATTTATTAAATTGAAGAAAAAGGCGATTTACAAGGGGAAAATCATTTTACAGGTAAAATAAATATATTGGAGAGAACACATATTCATTCTGATGGCAAAAAGTTATGTACTTTGAGACGGATGGAAACGTTTTGAGAGAAAATATTTTGTCACAGAATAAAAGATAAATTGACATTTGGAAAATTATTTCTCTCTTAAAACTTTTTTTTTTTTTGCCTCACTTAACCAAAAAAGTCTTTGTTCTTGATTCAGGATTTTTCTCTCAATATGAAAAACCTGTTAATTCTGTCAAACCTGGCCAATAGAAACACAGGCGCGCTTTTCACATCTAGAGAAAAATCCTGAATCGAGAGCAAAGACTCAAAGAAATGTTTTTTTTTTTTTTTTTTTTTGACAAAACATTAAAATAACTCCATACAGTGTGGCTGAAATAAACTTTCTGCAAAAAAACAAAAAAAAGAGTTCGCCAAAACTCCTAAAATAAAAAAGACTCCTTCCCACTTTCAAATGCATGGCAGTTTTCAGATATCTTCATCTGAGATGGGGGAAAAAAATGGTTTGATGATCTGAAACTTGTCAGTGTAAAACGATAAGAAATCTGTAAGGGGCCAAATGCCTCTTTAGGGAACTCTAGTACATTTATGTTCCGTTCAGATGCCAAAGCTCTGAATTCCTAAAAGTGTGCTGCAGACATTTCTGCCTTCTTGTGTTTAATGTTTTTATAAAAAAAAAAAAAGAAAAAAGTCAAGACTCACTGTACAAAGCTATACAACTTTTTAAGCCAATGCCTTAAATAGGAGTTTCTTTTTCATGTTCTTTTTTTTTACATTTGCTGTCTATTTAGGTCTTATAAGATATCCATAGTGCAAAATAATAGCAGGTTAATTTGCCTTATACCATCTCCCACTTTAAACTCCAAAAATCCCTCAACTTACTTGTATAACTCACTCTATATAAACATTATTTTCTAAAAATGTTCTATTGCAACCCAAACCACGTGGTTGTAGTTCTAATCTATTTTTGAGCCAGTTGATTTTTATGAAATATAGCTGAGAAACTTCTCGCTGGTCGACAATATCTATTAGTCCACATAACCTCATCTGTAACCATAAGCGTTTAAAGAAAATGACCTTAATAAGCAGATGACTTAGACAACAGATGTCAAAGCAGGTATGAAAGATCAACAAAAAAAGGGTTAAAAAATAAAGAGTGATTGGTATTAAACATCCATTGGCAAGCTGCTTGGTTTTTACAACACAGTGGGGTCCAAAAAGACTAAAACTGTAGAATAGAGAAATGACCCCCGATGAGAAACACGTGCAGGATGGTTTGGGAGTTTAACCCTTTCAAAAATGTTTTATGTAAATAAAGATTGAGCTTTCAGTTGTAGTACAGGTTGTCAACGTATCGTTAATATGAAACTGTAAAAGGTGAGGATCCCGTTTTGGAGTTTACAGGTAACTAGACTCAGTATTTATTTTTGTAAATTACACTCAGTTTCCATCAAAAATGTCTTGCTGCCTTGGATTTTTAAATTCGTTTTGTTACAGCCACAATCGTTAATGTTTTCGGAGATCAAATTAAATCTGTGCAAACTATACCATGTTTATTTGTATAACACATGGTTGACCAAATGCAGCACAGGTGCACGAAAAACATGGAAACAAAGGTAGAAAAATGACCACTACACCGTTAATTTTAGGCTAAGACAGACATTCAATGTTAGACTCATAATGTTTAAAAAGGCAAAAAGTGAGATTGAAATATTCTCAGCCAATGAAGCCTGTCTCATATGCAGAGGTGAATCATTCCACCACTTCAGGGACACAACAGAAAAAGCTTCTCCATTTGTTCTGTGATTTAGGAACCTCCAGCAGCATCTGGTTAGTGGATCTGAGGTACAACAAGGTATATAAGGATGCAGCATTTTGGACAAGGATGTTGAAAAGTGTTGAAAACTAAAAGAACTCCATAGAAGGTTAAAATAATCCAGCCAGGAGGCTGTAAGCATGGATAATCTATTTCAAGTTATGTCTGTGAAGAAGGGAATCAATCATAGACGTCTAAGATGAAAAATGGAGATTTTTACCACAGTTAATGTGGTTATTAAACATGAGGGAACTAAAGTCAAATGACGGGTTTAGAGTGAAAAACAAATCAGCAGAAGGAACTGGTGGAGGATTTTGGACTGAAAAAAAGATATATTTCATTTTGATTAAAATGCCATCCATGGTTTTATGTCAGAGGTGAACCTCAGACTGAGATATAGGGAAGCAGATCTGACAGCTATCAGGCATGGGCGGTTCTAGACAGGGGCCAACAGGGGGACAATGCATAAGGCTTCAGTGGTATTGAGATAGGGTCCCAGATAGGGTCTGAGTTTTCATCTACTAAATGTTTTTTAAAAACATAAAAAAAAAAAAAAAAAAAATACTATTCAGCCGTAAAAAATAATTTTTACAGCTGAATTTATAAGCTTTTCTTGAGTTCTTATTTTGATTTTATAGAAAGCTGTAATTTTCACTTAAATTAAGTTAGAAATATGTAAAATTACTAAATTAGGACTGTATATTGACCTAATTTTCCCAATAACTTCATTTATTTGATCTTTTAGATATTTATTTAGCTACAATTGTTTTTGAGTTGCTTTTTTGCTATGCTAAGAGATTTTGATTTTAACAATAATCCAACATTTTCAACCCAAAAATAAATGTTTTCTGTTGGAAGACAGAATTTTAATTAAACCTAATTCAATGGAAATCTAACTTCATGCAGCTCTCTTAATATGTTTGAATCCCTAGCCCTGTTCGTTTGTTTCATGCTTTTCTGCGCCCCCATGAAAACACGCTGGCCCCCTCCCGGCCCCATGGTACATTTGGTCTAGAACCGCCACTGCCATCAGGCTAGAAATTGATTTAAATCCTTTATTTGAAATCAGTTCCTAGTGGAAAAAGGTGTATTGGAAAAGGAAGTGTCCCGAGAACAGAGCCCTGAGGTATTCCACATGCCAGGTCAGTACAGGAAGAGTTTATTGCATTATTGGGAAGTGGGGAAAAAAGTTTTTACAATAGGTTTGACATATATTTGAAATGTGCGACACACAATACTTTGTATTGTAGGACCAGCATGTTATAAAGGTACAAGTCTTCTGTGGCCCTTCTGTGTGTCTAATAGCTGCACATCTAGAAATAGATACTCTGCCTGTTGGTCTTTGAACACCATCCTCTCAGCATTATGCTACCATTACAATGTTTTTCCATAAGGTTAATTGTGTTTCAGGGATTAGGATTAGGGGATTGAAACTTTAGTGCCAAACAGGTTCAAATACTCATAGGTGAAAAATGAAATCAGTTTTGGTGTAATCTGACCAGAACTGTCCTTTAAACATTGCAGCAAACAACTCTATTTTCTGCAGATTTCTGCAGGTGCTCCAGAGTTACATGATTTTTGAAATGTTCAATCCAATTAATTGAAAGGTCCCATTTGTGATCTTAACATAGGTTTCATAATTCATTAAATTCATTGTAGCTTTTGATTGTTTTACAACAAGATTTGAGAAAGTTTAAAGGGTGTGAACAGTTTTGTAAGGCATTGTAAATGCTTTACTGGGGATGCAGTATACTCCAAATGAGCTTGTGTTGGTGGTTAGAGACACGTTCTCATTTGTTATTACCCATGTTTCCGTGGCATTAAAATGGGTTCAGTATATTTATTTTTAACATTGCAGTTTAGATGTTTGCTTAAGGAATTAACAGACAATGGTAATTGGGAAATTCATTAAAAAGACGCCTCAATAGTCTTGATCAGGCAGTAAAGTCGTGTCCTGGGTTTTAGTTTCATTTTTAAACTATGGTAGCAAATTCACTGCTTATTCAAGGGACTTTAAATACCAGCACAATCTGTCACCAGTGGGCTGCAAAGATCGAAAAATCCCAGCTAAGAGAGGGCAATAAAATCAGTGTTTGGAACATAATGAGAAGTAATCTGCAGAACAAAAAAAATTTCAGTGTTTGTAAAGAAGACAGCAGGGGTAGATGAGCTCTTTCTTTATAGCAGGGAAATGAGAAAGTGTTACATTAGGTCCTTTGGAAAAAACAAGCTCCAGGAAGCAGACCCATCACTGTCAGAGCTAGAGACAACAGAGAGGCTTCATGTAATTCATGGAATGGCAAAACTAGTCGTTACCACATAATTAAAATCTCCAATCCAGTTTGGGAAACGTGATGCTTGTGGAAACATTACTGAAGCCAAAGATCAAAGCAGGTAAATAAAAAAAAGGAGTTGGAATAAAGAGAATCCTTTATATAGGGATGCTCACCTGATATGTAATGTTAATCTTTTAGTCATACCTAAAGGATTTAAGACCATGCAGAGGAGGAGTTTATAGGTTCACTGCTTCTATAGTCTCGACAGGCTCTATGTACCAGCATATGTATGAGCTATTTACAACAAAAAACAGGAGAATGCAAAGCAGGGGAGATATATAGTTCTTGTATTTAAAAGCTTTACCTTTGTGTGGTATATGCTCTTTAAACGAAAGCAACATTTTCAAACTCTGGAGGCAATAGAAAAGTTTTATTTGCAATAAGTCATCAAAGAATGTGTTGTTTAGAAATCAGCTCTTTATTCGTTTCCTGAACTAGCAGTGAAGTGCATAAATGGTGTAACAGTTGGGTCTTGGTTAACAGCAAGGTCAATAAAGTGTTTAAAACCAGACTTCCTCAAAGTTTGTTTATTTCTTCCATTTCAGTCCAACGTTATCTTCATAAAGAGGAAAAATTACAACCCTCGCTGAGAGACGGCAGTGGGAAGCTTGCTGTCATCTCTCAGGGACGATCAGCGATCCGTGCCAATCAGAGACCACCTGGAGGTTACATTACAGAGCGTCGGGATGGAAAACTGTTTGCTCATGTGTAAGATGTGCGGGAGAAGAAGAGACTGCACAGATGATGAGCTCTGTGGGGGAGGAAACGAGAATGTGGTGCTGGCCAAGTACTTGGGAGACTCAAGTTTTCACTTAAAAGATGTGAGATGTAATTACTCTCATGGATGAAGCCAAGCTCATCAGCCAAAATAGTTTTAAATTGTTGCATTGGCTGATGAAGTCATTTCTTTTCAGAATTACACAACGTATAGGATAAAAAAAAATAAAATAGTGACTTTATAAGGTTTAAATTTCATCTCCTCTGTTCTCAAGAGTTTAGATGACAGATTAACACAGAAATCCCATATCTTTAATGAATGTGAAGCTGACTAAATCAGACAGTAAGGCCCAAACTTTAGCTGCTGCTCTGTAGAATAAGGGTGGGAGCATTATATTCAAGGCTATGAGTTAAGTAAACAATGTCATGGAAATGTTTTGGCAAAAAACTAACCCTGAGACTACAGCAAAGTTTTTAACACTTAAATATGAAATAATAATATAAAAAATGACCATTCTGGTGGTTTTTTTAAGTGCAACTGGTCTGACAGGAAACTACTTTTCAAATTAGGGGAAAGAACTGTTCAAAGGGAAAGTCCTTTCTGCGGGAATCGGTTAGCCATTCTCCTTTTCAGAGGAAGCAAGAAGCTATTAGAGATAAAATATTTTTCTAAGGGTACATATAGGCAGTTCATTCAGGCTCCTACACAGAATTAGACTTTAGAAAATTTTCCAGTATAATGGGGAATGATCCACCACAGAACCCCAGTTCCTAGGATTGGGCCTTCAGTCAGGTTAGCATGAGAGAAAAATGACTTGGTACGAACTTCACCTGGTAACAGAGCATCTGAATGAGGTACTTTTTATGCTTCATGGATTATGCAGGGTTTAGCAGCTAAGATGCAACAGGCAGATAAGTTGGTGAAGATTCTCAGTCATCCAGGTCATAGTCATTCCAAAAAAGTTAAACTAACGGGTGCACCCCTTTCAGAGACTTAAGGGCTGGTTATCCTCCCGCAGCAGTGTGTCGCACTGAGCTTGTCGCAGATATTTTTGATTTATGCCCAATATTGAAGCGTGGTCTGCTCTACATTAATCCATGCCACAACGCAAGAGGACAATCACGAACTAGCTGTGGGACTAGATACGGCTGAGGCGGTGAGGGCAAGTTTGTGCAACAATAGAGGGACATGAGGACGAAATAGAGCGGGGATCCAGGTGGAAAAAGGGTCCCTGCGTTCTCACACACCTCGCTCTTCTAGCTGCTCCAACTTCACGAGTCGTTTTCTACAATGGCGGTCATACAAACAAAACAAACCTGTAAGGTATCAGACAGGAAATACGTATAGTTTAGAGCGGATCTAGATTTGACCAATCTGAGCCCTCCTGTCTGCGGCCACGTACAATTTTCGAGAGGTGCACCAGAGTGTCTGCGGAAAGTGCGGGGGTATATCTGCGTCTGCAGACGACTTGGTTTCTGAGCATAAACCAGCCTTAAAGGAATAGTACACCCAAAACATGATTAGCCTTCATTTTCTACTCACCCCCATGCTGAACAACACTCTGGAGTACTTTTTTGATATCTCAAATGCATCTGGAGATCTGGGAGGCTTCTTGCTGTCTGCTGACATTCAAATAATGGAGGTCTATGGTGCCCGAGACAGAAAGGTCCATAAAAGTCCACAAAAAACGTGTCAATATTCCTCCATACTGCTCGTCCAATGTATTCCAAGTGTCCTGAGTGGGTAGCATCCAGAATTTACTCGAAACGAAGTAATTTAGAATGTTTTTAGAGCATAAACAGTAGAATTTGGACGAGAATTTGCATGTTTTCAAAACAAAAACAAGGTTTTGTTGGGCTACTATATAAAACCTCCTGACATTTTGAATTGAAAAAGTTTCCTGGGTGGGAAGCGAAACGTCTTCAATCTTGGAAACCAAATCCAGTGGGTTTTTTTTTTTTTTTACTTTCTTTGGAACAGACATAACTGATTCCTCACAGTTATAAGGCTATAAAACAGATTTTCAGCTCTGTAAATAACTAAGGAAAACTGAGATTGACTGAGAAGCTTCAGCCCATCAAAGCTAGGAAATCTGGGAATCTCAAACAAATATTTCAGTATAAACTTAAACAGAAAGATGCAGTCGAACCAGTCTGTATAATCATGGCTGCAGAGTATAAATACTGATGGAAATCTCACACTTATTTCTTTTAATTAAAAAAAAAACAAAACTATTTGCTAGAAATCTGTACAACTTTGCATTTAGGTTGCAGATGTTTTGCTGGTTCTGCTTCAGGAAACAAAGTCCATCTCCAGTCTTTGATTCAGTCCATCGTTCAGGAGTGGGATCATAAAACGAACAGCCACAGCGGGGGAGAGAAGATCGATTTACCTTCACATGAAAGGCAGATGCATTTCAGGTTGCTCTTTATTTCCCCCTCATACATCCTCCCTCTGAAGACAACCTAAAGCCATAAGAAAAAGCCCTGGAAGTGACCTGGAAGTCCTACCACCACTTCTCAAACACAATCCTGTCCTTAGGGAGGCCGAGGTGCATCAGGGTTTGTGAAACTGCCTCTATCATTGGCGGGGGTCCGCATAAGTAACACAAAGTCCTTTGTGGGTCCACATTTGCCTGCAACTCCTCCTCCGTGATTCTCCCACCTGAGGAAACACGAGGGAGCAAACGCATTAATTAAACCTCAGCGCCGAGGCTCATACACACAGCTGTGATAGCGCCGGCTTCAACGCCACAAAGCGGATAAATCAAAGAAAGCCGACTGCGCTGGAATGTGACAGTCAATCAATCATCCCAGCTAAATGAAGAATTTTGTAAATTACTTTTGACAAAGGGCGTAAGGTGTGGCTCCACTTCTGCCCTCTGCTGCGTGACGTGAAAGTTGCAGGAGAACTTGTCAGGAAACTGTCCACATTTCTCAATGATGGAAGTCTGGGGGGAAACACAAGTCAGGTGGTGAGAGCCTACAGCATGTTTGAGCTTTTCCATATTTTGCTCACATTATGACCAGGAAATGTAAAGTTAGAGCCGAACCTTGAAGAGCAGCTCCTGTGTGTTCTTAGCGCTGTAGCAGAGGTGGGCGGAGCCAATGCTGTAGTCCCGGCCACCGGAGGACTGATTGAGACGCAGCAGATCTGAAGTGTGCAAAAGAATAGAGTACAGGGGATTGATCCCGACGCCCCCGGCAACCAGCAGCAAGTCCACAGACGGATCTGAAGGCTGCGGGTCAAAGTAGAAGTCCCCGCCCACACGCATGGCCACACGAGAGCCCACTGCGCACTGACAGGAAGAGAAAAGGAGGAAGACGTTACAGCGCTCTGTATTAGCTATTAATAATAGTTTTAAAGACTTTGAATGTATTGTGTAGACAAACGCCTTCATCTGCACACTTCTACATAATGATACGTGTTTTCTTAAGCTGCTATGATGGGCCCTAAACTATTTCTGGAGTAGAATATCAAACAATAGGATCAAACCATCCCAGACGTAAGAGATGTACTTCTTAGAAAGCTCAAATAAACATCACCTTACCTTAGATCTTTCAACAACAAAAATTATGGTTAAAAGTCAATTATTATTATTATTATCATAAGCCCACGGTAAACAATAAGACAGGCAACAAATATGCAATCGACAGAGAGAGTCAAGGCAAGCTGGAAGAAAGCATTTAAATTCAAAACATCCAATTCAAGACTGATTTTTATTTTATTTTTTTGAAAACTATTAATTATCCTATATGGATAGCAGGTAACTGGGCTCCAGCTGCTCTTAAAGATCACAACTGACTTTTATAATGATGTCCTGGGCAGTGTTGGGCACGTTACTTTGAAAAAGTAATTTGTTATAGTTACTAGTTACTTCTCCCAAAAAGTAACTGAGTTACTAACTGAGTTACTCCACAATAAAAGTAACTAGTTACTAGTAAAAGTAACTATTGCGTTACTTTTGCGTTTCTCACCCCCGTAACCCTCACCACCCGGCCCCCACCTTCTCGCCTTGTGTTTCAAAGCCAGCTGAATAGAGTGGACAACAAAGACAAGAACCTGCAGAGAGTTTAGCATTTATTGCAACTCAACGTAAATGACATCAGGGGGAACGCCATGTGAAGTTTTTTAACAGGGCATTCAGATCTGGTGAGTATATGAAATTAATAACTGGGGATGTCTAATTCTGAAATCCTGTGTGTTTGGGTTGTTATAGATACTGCAACATCTATCTATCTAGATGTATACTCTGTGTGTGACATAAAATATGGATCTCCATCCCTGCCACAAAGGCCATCAAATAATGTTTAAAATAAAAAATACAGTAGGTTGAGAAGGCAGAGCATCTATCCATCCAGATTTCTCCCTTTCTCCATATAGGCTATCATTTCTGGCTGTTGTCAGGTTAATCATTTGATCGTTCCCGCTCTTCATAGTTCTCCTGTGGCGCGAGCACAGGGCGACTGTTGCGCGCCTTTAGCGAGCATGCGCGTTAGGGGTGTAAATAATAATTTTTGTATTCGTTTTGTATCGATGCATCGATCCAAAAGCCGACGATCCGATGCATCGACACGTCCGCAAGATAATCGATTAATGTTTTTTTTTCTCCCTCCGGTCTATTTTTATCCATTTGCTCCTGGGCGTAATTCTTCCTCCCGTGCTGCGGTGCCGCTAAACCTATTTTCCCCTCCTACCGCGCTTCCTGGTTATACTCTTACAGCAGTTTGTTGCAGCAAGCTTCACACAGACATTTTTAAATTATGCTCAGTATTGAAGCGTGGTCTGGGCTACACGCTGTGGGTCTAGATACGGCCGAGGCGATGAGGAAGTGGGGGCGAGTTTAGTCCGACGACGGAGGGACAATGGGGCAAAAAGAGCGGAGATTCAGCTGGAAAAAGGCTCCCAGCGTTCTCGCGCACCTCGCTCTTCTAGCGGGTCAAACTTCACGAGTTGTTTTCCGCAATTTCGGTCATAAAAACAAAACTAGCCGGCCTCCTGTCTGGTGCACTGTTTGCGGTCAGCTACAATCTGGGAGAGGTGCAGCGGAGCGTCTCTCAAGGGGCGGTGACGTCAACACTCTGGAGCCTTCTTCTTCTTCTTTTTTTTAATGGCGGTTGGCAAACAACTTATAGCTGCATTACCGCCACCTTCCAGAATGGAGTATGGACCAGACAAACTATTATATTCTCCCTAAAATACCCGTTCTTCTTAGAAAATTAAAAATACCCCCAAAAACTACATCCCCAGATGACCTTTGAAACAATTCTCTTATATGTAGTTTATTTTTATTCCTGTCCAACTCTCTACACAACATCTCTCTTTCCTGAATATATTTATTACATTCTAAAAAAATATGTTGGACAGTTTCTCTGGAGCCGAGGTATTGCATTGAACTCATTACACTGATATTGTGCAGTATTTTTGCAGTATTTTTTGATGCAACTTTTCTACTTCTGTTATTTGCTGTTGTTTCTAAAGAAAATGCATAATGATATTACAGCTTTCATTGATTTATTTCAAACTTGAAACTTTGTTTAGCCTGTAAGGTGTAAAAAAAAAATAAAAAAAAATAATAATAAAAAAAAAATTAACCGATTAATCGATTAATCGAATCGAATCGAATCGAATCGTGGTGTATTCTTAAGTATCGAAAATAATCGAATCGTTGGATCAGGAAATCGATACTGAATCGAATCGCCATGATGGATGTGATTTACACCCCTAATGCGCGTTTCCTGTCGCGTGTGCGGTGAATCGTGCCGCCTGCGCTGTGCGGAGATGCAGAGGAAACCGTATCTGATGGGGAAACGCAGCTCGACCTAACACCGGTATTTCCATCAGGAAAACGCTGTTTTGCTGCTGGAGTCATCCTCACTCTCCATCTCTCTGTGTGTGCTGTACGTTAACACCCGCCAGCAGAAACACCCACCTACCCAACTGACAGACGGAATCTCACTATTCATCAGCCATTCTCATCCTCCCCTCTCTCATGATAAGGCGCGCACCTCTGGATGACCTAAAAAATAATCTTTAATATCTCTTTAACAAAAGTAGCACAAACAATATTTTTTTCTGCACAAATCTGCACTAACGTTGCACTAACCATTCAGTCTATTTGCAGAGTTTGTTGACGTGGGTGGGGTGTAAGCTTCACGCAGCTGCGCACGAGTCCTATCATGAAAAAAGGTTAATTGTGCGACCTGAATAATGCGCAGTAACGGGGTGTCTGCAATGGTAACTGCGTTATAGTTACAGTCAAAGTAATTAGTTAGATTACTCGTTACTAAAACAAGGTAACAGCGTTAGTAACGCCGTTACTTTCAACGCCGTTAGTCCCATCATTGGTCCTGGGATATTTTAGCTTGCAGCGAGTACTGGGAGCACTGGTGAATAATGGTTTATAAAGCAATAAGCTGGAATGGTTAAGAGAGAAAATAAAAGTATTTTTCACTTGCATTTCATTTTTCCTGATAAGATTTTTGTGCTAAAATGTAGATGAAAGGTTTTTGCTGACTTGGTTTTTTTCATTCTTTGTTTAAAAACCATCATGAACATTTTTTTAAAGCAGTAATTTCAGACAATTCAACATTTTTATTTTGTGGCTATCATTTTCTGACGTTTTCATTTCACATCTGCTTCACTGTAATGGCAATGTTCTACAGTAGCTTCCACTTTAAAGAGCCAAAAGCATTATCTATACTCTGTGAAAATCACGCTATAGTTCACTAGTTTACTCCTCTCACTCACCACGGTGTGGACCCAGTGTGCTGGGGGGTGCGTCGTGTACTTGACCGCCAGTTCAACGATCCCCTCCCTCTGCAACAAACCCGGGTTGGAGCACATGGAGAAACCTCCCACTGTCTCCAGACCAGGGATGAAGAAATCTACCCTGCATCAGGAAAAAAGCATCATGCTGGTAACTCTTTTTAATCTTCCAGGACCAATAACCTTTTTTTTCTTTCCTTTAAGACAAAAAACAGGAAAAAAAACAAAAACACACTGATGTTTGGGTCAGGACCTAGAAGAAAACAGGGAATAAAAATCAAACTAGGAGCATAGCTGCCTGCTGTTTAGTTTATTCAAACTGCAGCATGTTTGTTTACCACAAAGTGCAGCCATATGTGCAACCACTGCTGTGATGTTCAACATCTGGACTGAAGCCTCACCAATACAATGACCCACTGTTACATTAGACAAAGATAGAGAAAACCATTTACCCCAAAGGAGTCCTATATGAAGGACCTGCCATAATGTATCCATCTCCTTTTTCCACCTTGAGATGAAGATCTGGACAGCTCTTCCTCTTTGGAAAGCAAAAAAAGTGGCTGCCAAACACCCACTGACAACATGGGCTCGCACTGGAGGCGACTTCAAACTTTTAACCAGTACAAAGACAACTACAGGAAAACCAGACCTGCATTCATCAAAGATGCTGTTTTCATTACTTGGAATCTAAAATTATTATTTCTCTTTACTTTATGCATAAATCAATACTTAAGTCATCCAGAGCATTACAGTTCAATAAACATTTCTACAACTGTTACTAACACAATTTTCTAAATATTTCAGAACCTAAATAAAAGCCACAAAAAAAAAAAAAACAACTTATAGGACTATAGAACTATAAAAGTTGTGTCAGTTTTAAGGCTTTGAGCTCATGTGATCTAATCTGGCAGAATGCTGTCACCTAGTGGAGACTCTGGGTACTGTGGATTTACAGGCAGGTTCAGTGTGGTTAAAGCCAAGCACAACTACAATCCTTGATGACACTAATATTAATCACCTCTAATTCTTTGCAAGTAGTACACTAATGTTTATTTATAATGTTAAAGGAGCAATAAGTAATAGTGGTTGCCAAGTAACAAAGATTGTTAGGTGCTGTTGATACTATTTCTGGTCCGTCTTTCTTGCTTGCTTTCTTTGCTAAACCTGGGAACTCTCATACGATTGCTCCAGAAGCAGGAAGCAAACACAGGTTACATGTTGCAACAAAGCACCTCTGGGTCTGAAAGGGGAAAAACTTAAAGACATTGTTGATAGGGAGGATGGATTAGTGATAGGGAATGTTATTTTCCATCCTCCGGTGACAAAAAAATTCGAATTTTGTGTTATTATATGGTTATTTTCAATGTAAATTCCTTACTTATAGCTCCTTTAAAGAATCTTGAATGTTTTTTTGTAACTTGTAACCATGAAAACCCATAAAGAATTAACAAAGATCTGTTGGTATTCATTTATTCCATGGATCAGTGATCCAGGGTGGCAGATGAAAGTGTTTAAGGAGTGTCTACTCACCACTGTCCTGCTTTGAAGCTGAAGTCCGGGTGGACGGCTAACCTCAGTCTTTTCACCGTTTCCGAATCGTTTATGATTCCACAGACTTGAGCTGGGTACAGCGCCTACGTCAGGCAGGGAGGAAGGGATGGAGTCATTATCATCTCCACCAATAGTCACTATACTGTTTTTAAATCAGAGCTCACATTTTGTCTGTAGTTGCTCGCCGTCCTCTGCAAGTGGTCCATTTGTCTTTTGGAGGACATGTTTCTTCTGATAAAGACGAGAACACGGTTAAAAACATGGTTTGTTTGTCAAACATTCTTTTGTTAAGGGAGCACATGTATAAAAAAAGCCTGTGGAGTTTGACCTTAATGTCAATAAACTGAACAGGACAGTGCACAATAAACGCACCAGATTAACTAAACATGTCATGTACAATAATGGAGATGAGTAACAGCACTTTTAAATCACGTTGTTTATTATTTTGATTAGGTTATTCATCCTACATGAAAATATGGGGTAAAATTGTCCATCAAGAAATATGTTTTACGCATCAGAACCACCTAGGTCAGAGTTGGTAATTAGGTAAAGCTACTTTTCAAAGTTTTCTGTAAATTCAAAAACAATCTCAAAGAAAAAGAATCAATTTTAATTTCAATTCAGTTTATTTTTATAGTGCCAATTCACAACACAAGTCATCTCAAGGCACTTTACAGTTCAACCAGATCATACAGTCAAATTGATTCAAAGTTTTCTATCTAAGGAAAAGCTGTTGATTGCATCGACTCATTGACTCAAATACAATCCCTCACACCAAACATGCTTTTAGCGACAGTGGAGAGGAAAAACTCAGTTTTAAAAGGAAGAAACCTCCAGCAGAACCAGGTTCAGTGTGAGTGGCCATCTGCTGAGGCCGACTGGGGTTCAAGGAGAATCATAAATGGAAATAAAATTTCCTTGTAAACAACTGTGCTGACCTCAGGATTTATGAAATACAGGGAACCAACATCAACAAACGACATGATAACCGACACCGCCTGCGAAAACTTCACATTGGACTTTCAAAAAAGTTAAAAAACAAACCGCTGGACTTTGTTTTCCAAGTTTGAAGACATTTCGCTTCCCATCCAGGAAGCTTTCTCGATTCAAATTGTCTGAATTAGCATTGAGTTGCATGCTTTATAGAGCAGCCCAACAAAAGTCTCGTTATGGCTTAGAAATCATGCAAATCACAATTACTCACAATTACTATGCAAATAAAAAGGATCCAAATCCAATGATGTTTCTTGTGAACTATTTCTTACTGCAGTGTTTCCTTCCACTCAACTTTCCATCAATGTGCTTGGATACAAAACTCTGTCGATTAATCTGTCAATTTTTTTTTCTCCAATTAATCAATAATCAGATAGCCAGGTTTCTTTAAAGAAGACTTTGAAGTAATTAAACCAGGTGAAATCAAAACTTTTCCACTTGAGGAATTTTGGATAGAGCATATTGCTGGACAAAAAATATTTTCTTTTATCTTAAATGCAAAATGTTTATATAATATTTTACGATTTTATTATAATTACTGCTCTAAGTTGGTTTCTCTGTCAGCTAAAGGCATGTTTTACAGTCTCTATACTTCAGTTAATGATTAATCGGTTACTAATTTAGTTGACGATTATTTCAATAATTTCTTAATCTAGAATAATCCGATTACTTGTTTCAGCCCTACTATAATCATCAATAATAACAAATTTTCTTTTTTTTTTTTTGGCTTTCAATCAGTGCTTTTAGGTTAGTTTACATGAAGCTAAAGTAAACCAGAGTAGAGCGGATCAGACTCACCTATTAGCAGATCCGGGGGCCAGCAGCCGCCTCCACAGCGGAGCGCTGACAGCAGCAGAACAGATTAACCAACAGGGGGCGCTCATCCTGTCAGAACATACAATACAACATCTGGAAAAGCCCATAACTGTCAAAAGTGCTGAGAGTCCAAACTAAGCACTGTCAAATTTATCCTTTAATAGTATGAACTCAATTAGACTTTAATTTTGGTAGCGGTTCGTTAAATATAAAGTTTTAAGCATAAACATGTTACCCATCATGAGACAAAACTCCCCAAAAATCGTATTTTTAGCTTAAAATTGTAGTGGCAACCCGCCGACTTCCCTTTAACAATACGAGGAAATAAGAACAATAACATGAAGTTTATTTTAACGCGTATAAAAAGGTTGGAGAACATCAACACGTATTATTGACATAAAATGTAATGGAGTTTGGTATGACCTATAGCGGAAGCTAACTGTGCGCTAACGCTACATATAAATAGTGCTTTTATTTCGCTTTGCTATTTCAGTCAGACAAGGGCATGTGATTTTCTCTTACCTAAAACACCCGACCATATAGGCTACCACTCAAACTCCGGCCAAATATTTTACACTGCTAAAATAATAACCTTCGGCATGCTATGATTACATGACTGTGGAAAGCCGACTTCTTCTTCGGTAGGATGAACACCTCGGGTTAGGTTTATCAGCGCCCTCTTGTCTTGTCTTGTTGCGTATGGAGGTTGGCAAGCAACTTTTCGGTGTGCATTACCGCCACCTACATGAAGAATCAGAATGGCCCTATTCATAAAGATACTTGTATTTATTCATCTATATATCTCTATCTATAATATTAGTAATATATTATTACTATAAATATACTAAATCCTCCTAATTATTCCTGTTAATGTTAAATATTTAAATAAATATTGATGACATTTTTTTTTTACCTTTTCTGCAGAATATCAAATTCAATTTTACTTTCTCCTTATTTAGGTCTCTAACCAAATTCTTCCTTTCTTCTTCATACTTTTTACAATACATCACTACATGTTCTACTGTTTCGTCTTGTCCACAAAATTCACATTTGCCTGATATATGTTTCCCTATTTTGAATAATGTATATTTTAATCCTGTATGCCCAAATCTAAGTCTTGAAATAACTGTTTCCTCTCTTCTGCTTCCTTCTGCTATCTTCATTTCTCAGACTTTCCGTTGAATTCTATAAAACCATCTTCCTCTCCTTGCTTCCTCCCATTGGTATTGCCACTTTTCCTTCATCCTTTGTTTAATGATACTCTTAATTTCTGTCTTACTTTAGTTAATCATCATATCAATGGTTTTATTATCAGCGCCCTCTTGTGCCCCAATTGCACCTTTGACAAAGAGTGCATCTCGAGTATAAACCATGTAAACTTACTGTTCAGTCAAATTATTTTAATTTACACAGAGCTACAAGCTCGTAGAGATTTTTTTTCCTGTTTTTGCTTTGCCAGCTTTATCTTTATCCTTACTATCTTTAGTTATATTTTCTGGAAAAATCAGTTATTAAAAAAAAATATCCATCACATCCATTTTCATTTAGAACCAGACAGATTGAAGTAGGTAAAACATATGACAAACAAAGTTATCTATCTATCTATCTATCTATCTATCTATCTATCTATCTATCTATCTATCTATCTATCTATCTATCTATCTATCTATCTATCTATCTATCTATCTATCTATCTATCTATCTATCTATCTATCTATCTATCTATCTATCTATCTATCTATCTATCTATCTATCTATCTATCTATCTATCTATCTATCTATCTATCTATCTATCTATCTATCTATCTATCTATCTATCTATCTATCTATCTATCTATCTATCTATCTATCTATCTATCTATCTATCTATCTATCTATCTATCTATCTATCTATCTATCTATCTATCTATCTATCTATCTATCTATCTATCTATCTATCTATCTATCTATCTATCTATCTATCTATCTATCGATCTATCTATCGATCTATCTATCGATCGATCGAAGGACAGAAGCTCCCTAAGGGTTTCTATCTAAACTGTAGTGTTTGACTATCTTTCAGCTCATTGTACAGTGAGTGAAACCTGAGATGTTCCTGTTTTGTCTCACTGAGCCGTTCCCTGCCATTAAGAGCAGCAGCTGTCATTTAAATAGCAATCAAAACTCTATTGTGTAATCCGAACTCAACACTGTTTAACAACAGGCCAAGTTGGTTTGCATGATTATTACCCTGGAGGGTAGACAGTGACATTTAGGCCTAAAATAGGATGCTCACAAGTGAAAAGGTCATGCACTGAGTATATCTCTGTGGGATCCTGATCTCAAAGAGCCATATGTGTATTTTGGTGGAGTGGAGAAAGGTTTTCATCTTAATGCAGACACGTCACTGGGAAAAATATATTTTCCATCAGTTTTGTCGGGTGATTCTTTAATCCAAGGATATAACAAAAAAAATAGCACTTTATTATTTTGTTTGGCTCTATCTAGTGGTGAACTAATAATAACTGCACTGCCAGAAGCTTAAAGGCAGCAGCTCTGTAGCTATCTTTATATACCAACAGAGTTCTGCCTTTAAGAAAAGGTTTTTAGCTTTAAGCTAAGCCATTTCCAGCTATGTAAAACTAGTGGGTGTTTTAAATGTGGTTTAAGGAAAACAATGACAATGTTTTAGATTGCTCAACACAAAAGCTTGATCTCAATGTAATTAGAAATTACTTGTAAAATGTGCAGGCAGAACCGAAAGGTGTGTGTGTGAGAAGGCAGCCAACAATCCTGACTCATTTACATCAGTTCTCTAAGGTGGAATGAGACAAAATTCCAGCAAACTGCTGTGAGAAGCTTGTAAAACGAGAGCAAGAATATTTAATTCAAATCATACAACGTATGGTTCTGAAACTATTTGATCAGATAATAGAAATAGAATAGATCAATGAAAAAATATCAAAGCAAGAAAAAGTAAGGAAAATTTCTCAGTATTGAAAAGTATTTGTAAAGTTTGACCTGGCAGCCACAAATTAGAATAGTTTAAGGTGAGATTAAATAATAAATCTTGATAATCCTGACAGATTTCCGATCGCATCATGAGGTTGCAGAGAGTGAGAAAGACTCGCACTCTGTGAGGATCCATTTTTCACTCACAGTCACAGAAGAGGAATGCAAAAAAAAAACATTTCTGAAATCCTCTTTTTCTCTCCTCCTACTTTCTTTGACTGGGTTTCTTCTCTTCTTCTCTGTTGGCATCAAAACAGATAGAAACCAGTCAGGGGTTACAAACCCAAACAACCAGCTTTCAACAGCATACTGTAACATCCAGGAAATAATGTTTTCTACAGGATCTTAGACACACAAAAAGCTCCCAATATTCGGAAGTATGTGAGAATTATGAACAATTTCAGGTCTGAGATTGTAAGATTGATAGAATAATAAGCAAAGACAAGATAGAATTTTGTTCTTCACTTACTATCTTCAGAGCGACTCCTTTTGCCCATTCTTCTTTGCAAAATAGCTTAACCACAATAAGTTTCTTTAAAAAACGACCATGAGTATTAATTTATAAATCTTGCCACAGATTCAGACCTGTACTTTGACTGAGTCTGGTCTCCACTATTCCACTGTGCTTCTCACAGCTGTTTTTCCATTGTAAGGGGAATGTCTGGCCCAGGCTTTGAAACAGACCAGATTTTTTTGAGTGCATAACTGATAATTGTCTAGTCCACAGACTCTTCCACATGAGCTTCGAATCTCAGCTGCTCCTCTAAAGTCGACCTGATCCTGTTGGCTGTAAACATCAATTATTGCAATCATCTACACTGAATTTTATTTAGAAATGTGAGAATAAATGGTTTTAAATACAAACATATTCCCCAGTTTTTTGATTCTATTATTAAAAGATACAAAGTATGTGAGTAATTTTGCAAAGCATTACAATTACGCAAAGAAAACATACTTAAAATGTCTGTTTACTTAAAATAATGAGATTTTTTTTTTCACTTCAGTGCACTTGTCTGTAAAAGACCTGATGATGTTTCTGAGGTTAAAGTTACCTAAAATCTGCTGTTTTGGAGGCAATTTTTTTTTTATGAATACATATTTGAAATGACACACTACTTCCCTCAACAACTTTTATTTAATTTCTGTCAAAAACAGAAGAAAAATTTGTCAGAGCTCTATAAAGAAAAGAAATGATTGTACAGTATATGTAACTGTCTGCATATTTCCAGTGAGTCTCTCCGTATCCCTTTTGTAAGAAAAGCATTTAATAGAAACTCAACAGATACACAGAAAGAAAAGGCTTGTAGCTGTTAGATTCCTTTCTGCATTCCTGCAAGGTTTTTTTTTCTTCTGTTCCTGAATTGGTCACAGGTCAGCCTCAATGTGCAGGTTTCACATTTTCAAGAAAGCCCTGAAAAAAAAAAACCTGCCAAACAGAACCGTCCTGAAATCAAACAGACAATTAAAGAGATTAAACCCATTCCATTAAGACAGACTGTGGCTCGCTCCACCCGAATATGCTCTGCAGGAAGCAACTATTTAAGAGCTGCAGTTGGAGCTTTTAATCCAATACCCTGAACTACCTGTTGACCCTGTTGTCAGTGGCTTTAAAAAAAAAATTATGTGAGAAAAATGTTGTTTTAAAAAATCCAAAAGGGGATTGACTTCTTGATGTGTAAACCATGTTGATGTTGTTGCTATCCTTAGATACAGTAACTTCTCACTTCCGTCACTTGGCTTGTTCTTTTCCTAGCTGACTCTACCAGTCCAACTGGCTGCCTTCCTGCTCTCTTTCCCACACCTTTGTTCAACCTGTTGCCTAATGATGAAGTGCGACAAGAAGAGATTTTCTGGTTTTAGTTTTGCAAAGAGACCTGCTCCCGTCACAAGGACTTGGCACACGCATGATGCAAAAGCATCAGCGTCATCACAGCCGGAAAGAAAAAACGTTCACGCAGATGTATGTACCTTATTATGTGTGCTCATGAGTGAATGGGTGACATCACATTGTTGATGACTTTCAGTGTATTTCAGGCCATGTCCTTTGAAACACTTTCTCTAGATACAATGGGGAGTATCTGGAAGCTCTGCATAGCGAATAATTAAATATATATTGTAGGTAGAATAACTATTGAACATGTCAACATTTTTGTCTGTAATGGAGCAACTGATAGAACTAACATCAGATGTTGGCAACAACACTAGAATGCCACAGATACAAAGAAATCAATTGTTCACAAATGTGTAAGAAAATTAAAAGAAAAAAGATAAGAAAAAGGGAAAAACTCTCAGACATGTGTTAAATTCTTTGTTGAGAGTCGTTTTTTTCATTGAAGTATCTGCACGGAGCATATACAGTAAGTCTACAATTTGTACAGCTAGACCTGTTGAAAATCTGCTATTTAGATACATTTGACCTTGACCTTAATAATCATCACATCTTTAATTTTTCTTTCGTAATCATAGGTAATCAATTAATGTAAAAGCAGCACTTTGATTTGCCCATAACTGCACGGATACTTTCTTAATACTGAAATATTTTTGTTAGGTTTTTTGGGGCTTTCAGTGCCTTTTTTCATGTGCATCATGTTCTTTGTTTGCTGTACCCTAAATTCCTCTTTCAACCATATTTTAACTTTTGGATGCATTTATTTGTATAGATATAAAAATTGATTACGAATAATGA